CTCGTTGGGTACTGACTTTGCCACTATATACAAGATCTACCTAAGCAAATATTCACGAGAGTCGAAAGCACAGATGAAATCAGCTGAAAATAGTGGTGTCAATCTCGAGTGCAGCGGCGTGGTGAAGAGAGGCTCAACCTGCCACATTTCTTAGTGGACCGTCCCAAGGTGTGGGGCGAGGGAAGGCAGTGGGTATAGGGGTGGCAAAACGGGGACAGGCTTACAAGCCGAATGTATTAAAACAAAATTATCTGCAAATATCATATTTAACAGTGAAGTTTAATACATCGTTCATGGTACCTTACATGTAGGAAAGCGAAAATTGATTCAAGAAGATTGCCAGATGCAACTGTGCACAGAAATTGCATTCCTACTAACTATACATTTAGCAGGCAGAATTCAAGAAAACCAGCTTGGTATTTCTCTATATCTACTGTGAAAATAATTCAACCATGTTCAGACCAACGTTTTACCCTTGAGAATGTTAAGTTTGCAGAGAGGGCAGGTTGCACTAATCTGCAGCCACTTGCTAATGCATTTATGGTGGAAATGGTGGTTGCAGGGAAGGGTACACAACTCAACCCCATCCATGTACTTATAAAGGCATATGCAGCACTCCTACAAGGAAAGATAAGTTATCGTGTGAGTTTCAGTTAGACTAACATTCATAGCTGAAAAGAAAAGAACTATGGAAAAAGGCGACCATGAGCATTAATTTATTTGTCAAATCAAGATGGCAACATGGAGAAATTGAGAAAAAATTGTCGGAACCAACTCGGATAAATTCTAATAGGCAATACACACGACAATCAGTACACAAACGGAGAAATTCTAATGCACAATACATGCACTATTAGTACCCAAATGCCAAATGGGCAGTTAAATTTAAAACACGATTTTCTCAAAATAGTGTGGGATGTTGCATTAATGCATTTAGTAGTTGAAGAATTTTAAAGATCTTGCATATTTCAGCAAAATCAGAGAATTAGCATTATTGGAAATCATGAAATTGATTGATGTCTGACTAGAAACCCACGATATTTTCCTCATTTCTTCTCTCCCTCGAAGTCTGAGATAAGTAGACTGAAAAGCATGGACCCCACCAAAAAGAAAAAAGAAAAATAGCGAGGGAAATTGCATGGCCTAGGATGAATAAAAAAAGAAAAATTATACTGAATTTAAACGAAAGAAGAAAACAGAGAGATGAAGGAATAAATGCTTACAGAATCCTCTGGATTAAGAGCAAGTTCAGCTGTTGGTTTACTGCTGTCAGACTCTGAAGTTATACTAACTTCTTCTTGCCTCTTATTATATCCCGAAGTATTGGGCAGGCGATATCTATACTTGGGAAGAACCCTAATATCATTTTCAGATGCTCCTTCTCCAATAGTCATAGCATAGGCAACTGTAGATATGATAGGAAAGCAACAGAACAGTGCAAAGAAAATGATACAGGCCATTGCTAAACGGAAGATCATAAAGAACACATCAAAGGCTAGAAAAACCACCGATAACCTGCAAATTAGAGAATTAATTTTGAGGGACATTTTAGTGTATCATGTACTTTAAAAGCAAATTGACAAATGTCATAGTTTTAAGAGTGTTTTTGCTGCAAAAAAAGAATTTCCATTCTTAATATTCCTAGTGAATTTCTGAATTGGGGAAGAAATCATCATATGAATCCTAAAAACAAAATTGATAGTATGCATCACAACAGCCATTTTTTGCGATCAAACATGTTGCCTTGAAATGGTGCAACATGTTTATGATGAATTGCAAAACTGTTAGGACCGTTTTAGATTTCTGAGATCATTCAAAGATTTCATTTTAGAATGGGGTGATCATTATCAAATCTTAAACATACAAAATACCAGTATAGGCGCGGAGAGTCTTGTGGAAGCGCTTGGCCACCCATCACAATCCAATAAAATCCAAATACCCACCAAATTGATGAAATCACAGTATTAATGGATTCCAACTTCTTGATAATGCTGGAAATTATCGAAAAAGAGAACCATAAGTTTAAATTGTTGACCATTTAAATCATTTACACTATGAGCTCTTGTAATAATGAGTACAAGTAAAAATAAGTAGAATATGAACTGTAGAAAAACTTTTTACACTTTAAAAATGAGGTATTATAAATTCAAATAGAAAATCAGTAACTACTAGTGGGCTACCTCTTTTACTTCACATTTTTGACCTCCTTGAACTACAAATGGGAATTGGTGGGGGTATGGTATGCAGGGAACAAAAAGAACATGACTAACTCAATCTTGCACATGAAATATGCTTTTGATTGTCCATTTCTTTTGGGATCTTTCTCGTAACTCAGTTCTGTCTTACACGGTGTCTTCCATATTCTGCTATATATTTACCTCACTAATGTGACAGTGTTTTCAATTTCTCATATTCTGGTCTCACCGAAAAAACAAGAAGTAATTTTTCACAGTTAAACATGTACAATAACAAACAATGAATCATAAATGAGGCTAATGAAGTTCTTTAAATCAAAACATGAACTAAAAATTATTCTTTTAAATCTTCCACCGAAATGAAATATCCTTCACCTTCGGTTAATCCTTGGGCCAAAATAACCTTTCAATATCAAATTACATCAGATTATTTAGCTCAATTTCTCCCTCACGCTCGCTCTCCTCTCTCTGTTCTTTCCCTTTTTCCTATCTCATTTTTCTATTTCTTTCTCCTTCTCCCACAGTTACTTTGCTGCTGCTTACCAGAAGAACAAACAGTTCTTCCTTTCTTCTCCACCCTATTGGATCATAACTACACCCTTTTTCAAAATTTTAGTTGGTTCTTTTAATTTAAGGCCTATTTTGGGTTGGTGGAGTTGAGGTTTTGTTCATATTCTCCACAGTATTGTGGGCAAGATATCTTTGTTAAACACAATGTAAATATGAAAATTGCCAACAATGAACTCATACTTACGGTACAACAATAACGACGATACGGAGATCAAATATATCCTAATGCTATGTTCTCCATGATAGCTAAATATAAAATTCTATCAAAACAATGATAAACACATCCTAATGAATAAGGATAAATCTGAATGACTATCCTCATTAGAAAATTCCGACTTCTATCATGTTCTTCAACTTGTCAAACACATACAGCTTCAACAATTTTGTGAATAGGTGCACTATTTGATATTTTGACTTGTAGTAAGCAAGATCAGTTTCATCTTGACTCGCCATGTCGAATAGTGACATGCACATGGATGTCTTTACATCTCCTCTGCATAAACTAACTCGCTAGCTGAACCACAATTCCAAGTTAGCTGAGAACCCAAATGCAAAGGAGAGAGGCAAAGACATTGAGGGGCATTCTCACTTTCCACACAATGAAGTCGAGAAAAACAAAATCAATCCTGTTTAAATATATCAAGCAGTGATATGTTCAGAAAACCATTAAATCTGGATATTCATACTCAAAACTGAGCTCTGTTACACAAAATAACACTTCAAAATAAGGAAGACAAAAGCAGACCAGATCCACGAAGAGCAATATTTAGGAACCTTAAACCCATTTCTTGCAATAATAAACAAATTAACAAGCCTGCATTTAAAGGGTCTTCCACGATATCAGTTTCTATCTTCAATCTTTGATAGCAACATGAACCACATAATCTAAAATTAGAACTATTCAAAAAGCCATTCAAACATAATAAAAATATTCATATCAATTCTACATCCCCAAGAGTTCAATAAACAAAAATCAAATTGAATTTACCTGTTATGACACAGTGAAGAAAACGAAAAGACACCACGACAATTAAACTCTCGAACCCCAACATCATCAAGACTACTCCTTTGATAGTCAGCCCACACAATCCCCACGTGCAGAAGGCTCTGCAAAGCATACCCAAAAACCCAAACCCTTAAGGGAGTCGAGGGTCGTTCTTGAATGGTGGTCAGAAGCACAGAGAAAGACACCAAAACAAATGCCAAGTTCCATATTATATCAAGAAACAAGAAGGGTCTTGAGTAGCCACAATCTGTAGTGCTGAGTGGAGCATTATTTTCAGGTTCATCATCTATGAAAATACTGTGGTGGTGGTGGTCCAAGGTGGCTATGGAGTTGCTGTTGGGTCCCATGACTCCATAACCAAGAAAATTCTGCCTCTGTTGTGGATCCATTATGGGTCTGCGAGAGAGAAATCAGCTGTTTCGTGCTTGTTTTGTACAAGGGATTTGAGGGTCCATAGTATTTGAGGAAGTGGTTTTTGCCTTTTTGGGCGGAGACTGGTGGAGGGATTGCCGTGAAGTACGAATTGAGAAACAAATCGTTTTGCCCGAAGGAAAAAAATTTCATTCCTTTAAAGGCATTATATTTAAGTTAATTTCTTTAAAATATTTTATTGTTGACAATGAAACATCTTAAATATTTTTATCGTAAGTGATTATCTAAAAATATTTTTATTAATGTATGAAACCTCGTGATAAGCCAAAATTGACCATTAGGACTTATTCAATAGAGATTAAAATCAAATTAAAATTGAAAATTTAGTCGTTATTATTGATTTTTGTTAGACGAGTGAGACCAATAACTATTATATTTTCAATTTTAATTGAATTTTAAGTTTAGTCAAACATGATTTGGCATCTTAAAGCCTTCAACAACACTTTTCAATTTCAAGCAAACAAAGATGTAAAACAATTTAGAGCATGTTTGGTTAAGCTTAATATCAGATTAAAATTGAAAATATAGCCGTTATTGGATCTCACTCGTCTAATAAAAGTCAACAATAACGACTAATTTTTCAATTTTAATCCGATTTTAATTTATACCGAACACACACTTAATAAATTCACTTTTTGAAAAGTACTATAATTAATTTTGTTACCATATCAAGGTCATAATATTATAATACGAATAATTTGTCAGTAAAATTTATCAAGGACCTGTTTGGGCTTCATTTTATCAAGAAAATGTATTTTAAAAGAGTAATGATATTCATCACAATGGGGATGAAAACACAGTTTAAAATAAGTCATTTAATTTCACATTTCATTTATCGTATTATTTAAAGTCACATAAACTGTGTTTTAAAATGGTAACAAGTTGAATAACGTGTGATTGAAAAATATGGAAATTTTTTGTATTTACGTGTAAAATTATTTTATGGGAGAATGTATGGTTGAAAATGAGTGTTGAAAAAACGAATTTTTATAATAATGGGCTCAAACATGGGCTAAAAGAAACTTACTTGTTGAAATGTACTAGAATTAATTTTGTTGCCATATCAAGACTCTAATAGGAATCATTTGTTGATCAAATTTATTAGAAGTAACTTACTTTACACTGTCAAATTAAAAACATTTGAAAACAAAAATGTCATCTTGATTTAAAGACACATTTTATATGCTGTATAAATAAGATCAAATTTTTTTTTTTTTTTAAAGTTTTAAAGAAGATAATTTTTTATTTTTTTTAATTTACTGTTCAGTCATTTTAATTGGATGCTTCTTATCTTCAATTATTGTTCCAGGCTTCAGTAAAAAACATCATAAATTTTGATGACTATCAGTCCTTTCATCCAATCAAATGGTGCCTTCCCATCAAGCTCAAACTCGTAATTCCGCAGTAACAATGAAGTTACAGTCTTAGAGAGTAGTGGAGAAATCACTGCATACACTCAAAAAGAACGGTATATAGCACGCTAAAGGCACTTTTTACTCAAAGAATTAGGGTCTCGATCTGTCCGTGTCCTCTTCCTCTCTAAACCCAAGGTTTTACCCAATTCTACTCTTTCTATCTGTTTTTTAGCTAATCATACCTCTTATCTATGCTTTAGTAGAAAAGCTGTAAACTTTTTCATCTTAATTTTATGCTAAACTTGTAAGTGTGTTTATTTTTACCTTCTTGATTTAAGTACCCTTTTGAGATCTCAATGTAAAAGATGCATCTTCGTCAAGAATTCCGTAATGTATTCTATTATTCTGCAATTTTGGATGTGTATTTATGGTTTATCCTCATTTCTTGCAAAACTTGCAAATGGGTCTTTAGGGTTTTAGCTGATATTTAGGATCTTTTATGTTCATTTCATCAATGATTAGATTTTTACTTCAGATTATGAGTCAATTTACTAATAATGTTTGTTTCATTTGCAGGAAGAGAATTTGTACCGGAGTATGAGTTAAAGTTTGCACCTTTGGTTTGTTAATTTTATGGCTTAATAATTTGATTATGTTGCTCTCTTTAACTACATTTACTGTTCTTAGTAGTATCATAATAGAGGGAAAAGGGTTTTTCTTCTATGGTGGAAAAGAAGAGTTTTGAGTAGGTCGTTATTACTTATTAGGGACTTTTTTGCATAATTTGACAAGTTAATTGATTGTCTGGAAACTTATAGAAAGTGGTTAAATGGACCAAGATTTGGGTTCAGAGTCAAATCTTCCTTCTGGGTCAATTGATAAGTCTAGGGTTTTGGATGTGAAGCCATTGAGATGTCTTGTCCCGGTTCTCCCAAATGCACCTGGTATGTCATCTGTGTCAAGTCCCCAACCAGCACCCTTTGTATGCATTCCACCAACTGGTCCTTTCCCACCTGGAATCCAACCATTTTACCCGTTTGTGGTTCCAAATGCTTCTCAAAACAACCCATCTAGTGTCCCCAACGAAGCAGCGAATTTTGGTTTTGGGGCCTCTATACAGTCTCCTATTCCATTGAATTCCTTTAGAACTCCAACTAAGCCGGTGAATGGGGGCATGGAGCGATCTAATAGGACAACTAAAACTTATGCATCAGGAGCTGTATCTATAGGAGACGGGTATGCTGACTCTTGGAATCAGAGTGATGTGGAGAATGCCAGTAATTCAGGGAAACGAAGAGGTCAGCCAAGGAAGAAAAGAGACAGCAATGACAATGATGTTATTGAAACGGTAGTTAATAACCTCATTACTTCATTTAAGCTTAACAGTTTTGATGATTTTAGAAGAACCAGTGGTGATAAGGAGGTAGCTGGTACCATACTCTTGGTATTTGATTTGCTCAGGAGAAGGCTTACCCAAATTGAAGAATCATCTCCAGGCATTTCTAAACATCCGAACCTTACGGCTGGTACAGTTTTGATGGCAAAAGGTGTTCGGACAAATAGCACAAAGAGGATTGGGCACGTACCTGGAGTTGAAGTGGGCGATATTTTTTTCTTTAGAATGGAGCTGTGTATAGTGGGGTTACATGCTCCAATTATGGCTGGGATAGATTACATGAGCGTCAAACTTACCATGAATGAAGAACCTTTAGCCGTCAGCATTGTCTCATCTGGAGGATATGATGATCAGGGTGGTGATGGAAATGTATTGATTTACACTGGCCAAGGTGGAGTGCAGAGGAAAGATGGGCAAGTATTTGATCAGAAACTTGAAAGGGGGAATCTTGCTTTGGAAAAGAGTCTGCATAGGGCCAGTGAGGTAAGAGTCATAAGGGGTGTAAAGGATGTTAGCGGTTCAAATGGGAAGATATATGTTTATGATGGCCTTTACAAAATTGAGGAGTCATGGATAGAAAAAAGTAAGTCGGGATGCAATGTTTTCAAGTACAAATTGATTAGGAAACCTGGACAACCTGAAGCATTTACTTTGTGGAAATCAATTCAGCAATGGAAGAATGGAAATGCCTCAAGGAGTGAGCTCATCCTTCCCGATATAACTTCAGGTGCAGAGAGTCTGCCTGTCACTCTTGTGAATGAAGTCGATGATGAAAAGGGACCTGCTTACTTCACTTACAGTCCTATGCTCAAGTATTCGCAGCCTTTTTCTGCTCCTAAGCCTTTTTCAGGCTGTCATTGCCTAAATGGATGTCAACCAGGCAGTAGTAACTGCCCTTGCAGCCAGAGAAACGGAGGATATCTCCCCTATATATCACCTGGGGTCCTTGTGTCTTACAACTCCTTGATACATGAGTGTGGTTTTACCTGTGCATGTCCTCCTAACTGCAGGAATCGAATATCTCAGGCAGGTCTGAAAATACGTCTGGAAGTTTTTAAAACAAAGAACAGAGGATGGGGACTTAGGTCCTGGGATTCGATCCGGGCAGGTGGTTTTATTTGTGAGTATGCAGGGGATGTCGTTGATGCATCTAGGGTAGGTGAATTCAGGAATGAAAACGAAGATAATTATATTTTTGATTCGACTCGCAACTATGAACCATTGGGAGCTGTGTGTGATGATTCTAATGGTTCTGTAAAAGTCCGATTTCCCCTCATTGTAAATGCAAAAAATAATGGCAATGTAGCTCGTTTCATGAACCATAGTTGTTTGCCAAATGTGTTCTGGCAACCAGTTTTACGTGAAAGTAATAGCGAGGCGTACATCCATATTGGTTTTTTCGCCATCCGACATATTCCTCCAATGCAAGAGCTAACATATGATTATGGGATGATTCCATCTGAGAAAGGAATCCATGGAAGAAAAAAGTGCTCCTGTGGGTCAGTGAAATGCAGAGGCTACTTCTATTGATTCAATGCCAAGTACAATGATGGTTGGATCATGATACTTGATGCCTTTTGGAAAGGGTTGGTTATTTATTCTTTCTTGCATCCTCGAACTATCTAAATTGATTCTCGTTCTCTTACTTTAGATGCTTTCATTTGTATTTTTATTCCAGAATTGATAATAGTCTGTTCACTTCAGGGTAATTTTGTCAAGAATTAGATTCCGTGAATTCTGAAACGTGCGATTTCAATATTGTATTTCGTTGGATTTGTAGATCTAATCACTGATCATGTCTAACAAATTTAACTCTTAACTGTATGGAGGATTATCTTAAATGTTAAGAGTTTTAAACATACATAATATCAATGGATTGAAGACTGAAGGAATTCAAATTCTTGTGAGCCAAACTGCTTAGATTTCCAAATCCTTGAGAGCTTAGTGCCTTCATAATGAACAGATCAGGAACTTGGACGGAAACTCAAGTGTTGGATAGTTTGGACCTGGTGAACATATAAGCTTGCTTGTATTTCGATTTTTAAAGAAAGCTAGAAACCTTGGATTAAGATATTGGGGAAATTGGAATGGCTTGAGTTAATAAATTGGCTGTGACCTTGGCTCTTTTAAACATTCCCTGTCCATTCTGTGTAGATGTGAAGTGTGTACATGAATTGTCATTGGGGTGTTATTTTTGCGTGTGGTGTTGTGGCTTCATTCTGGCTGTTAGTCTTTGTCCGACCCAATTATTTTTACTTCTATTTAGGTCGCCCCCGGACTCTCCCTTTCTTTCTTTGGGGGCGACTCGGGGGTTTGAAGGTTGTTGGGTTTGGTTTTTTTGGAATTATTAGAAATCTTGGATTTGGGCCAGCCCCTGCTTGATAACTGGTCAACTTACAATATTTTGTTCTCTAACATACTACCAACTTGATTGAGTTTCCTTATGTTCGTATATTAAATTCTTTAACGGTGTTTTTCATTTTTATTTATTTATTTTTTTGGGTGGGGTAGGGTGGTGGGGCTGCTTTGAGGATTCCGCTTCCCTCATATCTGGCTCTCTCATTGTTCTAAAGGCACTTCAGTCTCTTAGTGCATGACTTCTGGGCTTCAAAAACAAACTTACTAGTCTGCCGAGGATTTTGGGAGACAGATTTTCACTTGATATCCAGGTTACATGTAAGAATGAAGTAGAATTATCTTTATTGTAAGGCGAGTGTGATTTTACTCATTTCGGCCTCATCTCAAGTTGGTCCCTGAAGTCTCAAAAATGACCTAACTAGCTTTGGGCAAGAAAGAATCAAGAGTTGGGTGCTACTGTATGGGGTCACCAAGTGTCAGTGGGGGAGAGGAGCAAAGCTCGTGTTTATTTTCATTCCCTTTCCTTCTCGATTTATGAATATTATCATTCAGCTTTCCTTTTATTTTCCTCATATCTCTATCTGTACCTGGAAGTTGAATTCGAGAACTCTAAACAGAGGTATGTTGATGTAGAAAGAATCATTGAATTTGCAAATAGGTGCACCCTTTATTGCTACTTTACATTGTCAGCATGACTGAAAATTTGTCATCCGAAGTTATTCTACGATAAAATTTTCTTGCAGACTGAATTTGCTCTTGCGAACTTTGTAGGTACACTGTCAACATAAAGTTGAATGTCTTTTTGCGTCTGCCATGCTGAACGTCTTTTTCCCTTTTAGTTCATCAGAAGTCGATGGTAGGAAAGTGCTCGTCTCAAATCGAAATATCTGACTTTGTAGGCGTGCCAATGAACTGGTGTTCTTCATGTCAGAAGCATTTGAACTCAACGTTACTTTTGTGAGTTGTGTAGCACAGCTGGAAACTCGATTAGATAGAGTTCGTTAATGTTATTCGCTTCCTTTATCTTTTGCATATTCGTCTATCTGATACTAACTGCATTCGTAATTTATCACACTTTTACCTCTCCTTTTCTCCCCCCGACAACTTCATGCATCAGAATGTCTTGTTTAAGACGACAATGCATGCAACAAATTACACTCCCACTATTGTTCACTAATGACTCACTGCAGCTGACACAAACTAGGTAGCATAGTTCAGATAAAACCTTCAGAGAGTTTAAGACTAAGAGCATGTTTGGCTAACGGTAAAATGTCGGTTTCACAAACAGATTATCAAACGAACTGTAGGAAAATGAGTGCAAATTACAACTTACTGAAATTTAGAAAATGAAAAACTAGGTTTGGTTGAGGCAAGAGTGAAGATGAAATTGTCGTGCACTGGCGCTTATGGTTTGTTGGCAAACGTCTTCCAATATATAATGACAACTTCTCGTCATAGTAGCACTCCAAATTTTGAGAACAGAGAATCGGACAATTTTTTTTTCTCTCTCTCCTTGAATGAGACTAGAACTTTATGCAGGATTACACTAAAGACATGAAGAAAGTGCAGGGGCAAAATAGGCAAACACTCATGGCATGTCAATATTGTATCAAATTTCGTTTGTACTACGTGTATATCACAACATGAAGATTTGTTTACTGATATTGTGAGATTTGATGAGTCAAAATTTCACCAACCAAATTTTAAAAAAAATAAAAAATTCTCCTACTTTCTTTTTGCCATCTAATGAATCTCTAGAAAGTATTGTAAATAGTGGAATAGAACAAGCATTTTCCAACAAATATTTCCCTCAAATGTTAAGGTTGCAAAATCTCAAGCGGTTTCTTTATCTACTGTGATTTTAAAAATCAATATTATCCATTGTGGTTTTGGTTTAAATCTATTTAAGATTGTACACATTTCTAACGTGGAAGCTTAAAGAGGGCTAGAACGGGCTGACCCACCTTTATGTGTTGGTATGGGTTGTCGATGAGCTCGAGTGTCTGATCATAGATTGCTCGACAAGGTCACACGGCCTACGTTTTTCCCTTTTTCCCTTTTTTGGAATTGATTTTCTTTTTAAAAAAAAACGCTTCAATGAGTGACTTAACGACAGGATCAAGGTGAGACATTTTGAGTCCCGAACCACCTTTATACCTATACTATCGACCCAAAACCAAAATCCTTGGCAATGCTTTTAATCTAAAAATCAAATTGGTGGTGATTTATGTGGTTTTCATTTCAGGTGAAAAAATAAAATTTCAAGAAGTTAAAAATATCTACAAAGTTGTAAACTATCTACACTAAAACAAGCTTAGAGCACAAGAACTCGTTTGAACAAGCACTACATAGAAAACTCAGAAAACCACCCATGTAATCAAGCAGGCCCATAATAAAACGCCACGTGTCTAATATCATACATTTCATTGGATGAGATTAGATTCAATCATTTTCATCCAAACTATATATTGCCAACCAAAAATGGCAGCAGAAATGGCTTTACTGAAACCCATTTCCAAATTTAACACCAAAATCCCACAAATAAGCAATTCGAGAATCCCATGTTCAAGATTTTTCACCAGAAGAATGCATCCACCACCACCCCACAAAATCTGCAAGGAAGAAAAATGCTGGGAAAAAGGAAATACAGGAGACTCTATTGAGCATTGACCCCAAGATTTTACACTACAGACTTCGATGAAATGGAGCAACTTTTTAATACTGAGATAAACAAGAATTTGAACATGGCTGAATTTGAAGCCCCGCTGCAAGCATTCAAGACTGATTTTAATCAGACACATTTTGTAAGGAACAAGGAATTTAAATAGGCCGCTGACAAAATGCATGGACCTCTTAGGTAAATATTTGTTGAGTTCTTGGAGAGGTCTTGCACTGCTGAATTTTCTGGATTTCTTCTTTATAAGGAGCTTGGAAGGAGGCTCAAGGTACGATTTTTTTCTTTTGGTTTATTTTCTGAGTTCTCGATATCATGTTTGGACGTGCTTAGAAGCTGTTTTTTTAGCAACGCGCTGTCGAGAAAATCTGCTGAGAAACGGTTTAAAGTACAGCCAAACATTTTCAATAATCTGCTTGTTTGTGCTTATATCATCTTGCCGATGTTGGCCTAATTTAATAATTTTAAGGACTTTAAATTATGAATTTGGTCTGATTATTTTTCATTTTTCTTGGATATCTTGAAAGATTTTGAACTTTGAATTAACAGTCAATTTAACAGAAAAATGGATTCATTTTCTAAATTCTGGAAATAATCTTCTTGTTTGCAGAGTTATGGTTATTTTGGCAAGTCATTTCACTGAATGCAGGGCTAATCTTGAATCTATCATTGAATTTATTCGATTTTTTTTTCTGGATTTCTTGAATGAGTTTGTACCTTAAATTAACACGATCAATTCAAAGAAACAGGTTAATTAGATAATTAACAATGGGTATATACTCACTTTGATTGGTACTCTTTTAAGTGTTTTGTTATTGTTCTTTCCCTATGAGCAAATGTCTTAATTTCTACCATTTTTGTGCTTATTTTCAAGATTTGTTCTGTTTCGGATTACATATTGTAGTTCTTTCAGAATGTTTTGTGTCATCTTGTAAAGACTAATTTTGACCCCTCGTCACTGGTGGAAATCCTCTTTCTTAGCTTATGAGTATTCTGACTACCGCGCCATTCCTTTTTGTTAAATTTCTTCCAAAATACGTCTTCTTTAGTTTTCTACTGTTCATTTAGTTAGTCGATGGTTAATGCTTCGTTTTCCCATTTCATTCATTTACTCGACTAAATGGCGATTACTTACGCAGAAAACGAACCCTGTGGTTGCTGAGATTTGCTCTCTTATGTCGAGGTATGAAGCTCGCCATGCCGGCTAGGCTGACATTCTTCACCATATGTTAGCGTTGACCGTCAAATATAGTTTATACTGAATAAACGCATACTGATCATCATTCGATGGAGTTTTATGTGTTTTGTCATCTGTTCATCACAGAAAGACTAATCTGGCATAGTGTCTTTTGTGGAGTTCTGCAGGTTCTTGAACAGGGTTATCCGACTTCAATTTGGCACTCGACTTGGGATTCCTAACGAAGGCCAGAAAATACACGTTTTTCAAGCCTAAGTTCATTTTTTTACGCAACTTATTTGTCCGAGAAGATTGGATACTGGAGATACATAACGATATACAGGCATCTCAAGGAAAACTCCGAGTATCAACGCTATCCAATTTTCAAGTACTTTGAGAACTGGTGCCAAGACGAGAACCGTCATGGTGATTTCTTCTCTGCACTGATGAAGGCACAGCCTCAATTCCTTAACGACTGGCAGGCAAAATTGTGGTCGCGTTCCTTCTGTCTCTCGGTAAGAACTGTGAAAAAATCACCTATACTTATGGATATAAAGTGCTATTTCATTTATCCAAAACTTGTATTCGTTTCTATCTTGATAAACGTATAATGCAGGTGTATGTGACAATGTACCTCAACGATTGCCAGAGAACAACTTTCTACGAGGGCAATGGCCTCGACACCAAAGAATTTGACATGCACTTTATCATCGAGGTGAGTGTTTGATCGCAAATTTACTCCCCTTTTTTAATTGTTATGGATCAAGACCTAATCCAAATTACGAGAGTAGAGCTAAGCAAACAAAATCAGAAGCACGTGAACAAATACGCAGATTTATAATGGTTCAATTTCAATAAGAGTTGTGATGCAGGTTTACCCGTCTCTTGAGCACTGAAATCCTATAATAAATCCTTCATATGGTAGAAGGCAACCTAGTACTTGGATGAAAGCATAGTGGAGGAGATATGAGAACTGCGGTTCCTCTAAGCATATTTCAATCAATGTTATGAAAAACATTAGCAAGTAGACAGATAGAGAACAATTTGTTTACTGAACCAAAAACAGCAAGTTTTTGCTAAAAGTTACTTTATATTTTGTGCAGACGAACCGAACAACTGCTAGAATCTTCCGGGCTGTACTGGACATTGCGAACCCGGAATTCAAGAGGAAGTTAGACAGGATGGTGGAGATTAACGAGCAACTGTTTGCAGTTGGGCAGAGTGAAGATATCCCATTTGTGAAGAACTTCAAGAGGATCCTACTTATTGCAGCTTTGGCTTCCGAATTGTTGGCTGCATATCTGATGAAACCTATAGAATCTGGTTCTTTTATTTTGACACAATCCCAACTTCATTCTTAGTTTCATAGAATCTGTTTATTGTCCCCTAAACAATAGTCTTGTAAAACCAGGAAACAGTGGCTTAAGTTTACAAGTTACTCTTACGAGTCAAAATAGTAATGTATTTTGACAGTAACGGAGAGGCTATTTTCAAAATAAGTAAATTTACCTATTCAACTAAAGTTGTTTAAAAGATTCAAGAATAGTTATTTTAAGTATAACTGATTATGAATTAATAGGAAATACTTGAAATTAAATTTTATTTCTCGACCTCTGAATTTAGTTGGGAATAGATCCCACCTCCTCTCCTCTCCTCTCCAAGTGTATATTACGTGTGCACGGGGAACGCACGGGTTAGACAAGATTGGAGACTCCAAACACAAAGGGTGGGAGAGATCACAATCGTACATGCTCCGATACTGAAGCTAGTCAAGAACTACAATAGAAAGTATATTGAGTGCGAGAAGAAATATCAGAGATTAATTTATAATATTGAGTTTATTATCAATGCTGCAATTATTTTTTAATGACACTAATTATGAATAAGAGAAATGAGCGAAAGATCCTTGGTACTTGGATAATTGACATGTGGCCTCGTGCATGACTCACTAGTCAAGTACTATAGTGTGACAATGTAACATCTTAGACATCAATAGTTCTGCAACCTTGCATACTCATGTCTTGGCAAAAATGTAGTATTTGACTCCTATTTGCTGCTGTAAAAGTACAACTTATTCAAGGCATCATGGATCTAGCCTCAACCTCCTTGGGGTTGACGAGACCCATCTGGTGTGGCTTAGAATTTGAGTCCCCTCTAATCACCTTGGATTGATTAATGAGGTGCATCGCCTCGAATTGAAGGAGAGGCCTGATAAGTGATATGACTCTTGGAGGAGATTGGGAGAAGTTCAAAAGAGGAATGGAGAAGAATGTTTCAGAAGAGGCCAGGAAGGCTTGAAGGAGACCTTGAGAGACTTCTCCCAGGAAAGGTCGAAAGTTAATTTTCAACAGATTTTCATTTTTATTTTTTTAATTGAAATAGGAAATTTATTATAATTAAATTACTAACATGTTTTCAAAAGTACAAATATGCCCAGCAGTAGATAGATGAACGAAATAAGAGAACGACGCAGTATTCGTCATCTTTAACTCCTTTCCGTCTCTATAAGGGAATCTCTCTCACACACACACAAATATCTGGTCTCGAGTACAGTTTCTCGGATCATTTCTGATTTTGCATCTCGATTGTAGGTTTTAACGATTGAAGGTGTTGCTTTGATCGATTTCGAGCGCTGATTCAAGGTAGTGCTTTTGGACTTTTTTTTTTTGCCTCTCAAATGCATGTAAATTTGATTTTTTTTTATCACCATGGAAATGCATTGTTTTTTTTGATGGCTCAGAAAGTAATGTTTTCAGAATGCATACGCGTCTTCAAATTTTGGGGTTAATTTCCGTCTGTTTTAATTCGTTATGAATCAACAATTTCATTGAGAAAGTTAACCAGTGTTAGAGGGACGCTTTTATAGATTTATATTTTATCTTCAACGTACCCATTGATATGTTGATGGGATTCATTTTTATTTTTATGGTGAGACCTCATCAAGATTAAGCTATGAGAGATGAGATCTAGTTATTTAAATTTGTAGTCAACACTAATCAATATTTCAGTTCAGATTTATTTTTCCTCTACGAAATTTACAGGAGTTTATCATCTACCAGGAAGAGCTAATACCAAGATTGTATTTATAATTGGACGAAAAGTTTGGCGAAGTGTAATACGTAAACATGGGAAAAATAATTTCTAAGTGGAGCAAAGTGATAGTATTTTGCTACCAACTTAGTTAAGGTTACTAGAAACCACTGATTCGTGAACGAACCGGCATATGAATTTAATACTTGTATGATATTTAAAAAACTAATAGTTCCTCTTGAGCCAAACATTTGTACTTTATCACGAAACTATGGAGCATGAATTGACAGCACATTGTATTGGAGTGGGACATCTGCTAATATTGATGAGAAAATATGGAGCCTTTATGCTGCCTATTTCAGGTTTTAAACTGAAATCTTGAATTGCATTCATGTGGGTTGTGGTGGTTCATCATAAATTAATATCATTTTTCCCCTTCAAAATTGCTTCTTGTCTCTGTCCTTAAACTGAATAAAGAGCATTTTCTCTGTACAAAGAATGTTGGTTATGTGTTTTATGAGTAATCTGTAAATTACTTATGACTGATGTTGTCTTTAGGGCTGTTATGTGGTTAATAATTTTAGTAGGACTACTTAACATTGGTTGTAGTGCACATCCATAGTGAGGTCAAGAAGGAGGTTGTATAGTACCTTCTTTGCCCTTTTTTTCCTTAGCTGAAGTTCAGTTTTAAGTACAAAATGATTTTTCACGAAACTTGATATGTTGAATCATTCCATTAGTAATTTGTGGACCTGCTATTGGATGGCAGTTAATTGAGGCGTCAATGTTGATAAACTTATTGTAAGTGTACGTGGTATATTGATATTTTCTAACAACACTTTGATCGCAAAGATGATCAAAAGTTTATGTGCTAATATGTTCATCTTCATCTATGCTATGGTTAAGATACTTGAAATTGGTATAATACATAATCTCTCTTAATGCACTTCAGTCTAAGCGAAAATTTACCCTTTGTGGGGTGGGGGGATATGATTTATTATTTATATACTTTTTGCCTTAATGTTGATCCATGTGTGATTTGGAAAGTTAATTGTTTTAAAGATATAATGCATATAAGGATTTTCAACGAATACAATTGGAATTGATAAGTGAAGATTGAATTACAACAATTTGGAAGTTAAATCGGTTTTGGCGACATCAATACTGGGGGCTTCACAATAGTGGAGTTGGAGCATTTGAGAATTTTATGCAGTCAATCAACCTATTAAATTTCTCTCCTTTGGTAAGATTTGTTAAAAGGATGGTGTTTTAGTTCACTCATTTATCAATGTAACTCTTCTTTTTCCTTCAACTGGGGGTGAAGCGAGATGCAGCAAACTGTGCTTTACATTTTATATAGTTGTGAGATATTGACTTGAATATCTATAGGTCAAAACACCTCAACCAAATGCTGTAATAGTTGGTTATATTTGGCCAGTATTTTAGCTTTTCATCTTGTGGTACTTGCATCATTTTTGGATATGATTGCTATATCTATTATTGTGTTATTTGCTGTATTTTTAGGCTTCTAGCAAACAGTTAAATGGCTGGCCCTAGGATTGCTCATGCTACTTTGAAAGGACCAAGTGTAGTGAAGGAAATCGTTATTGGAATCATGCTCGGCTTGGCTGCAGGTATCGTATGGAAGAGGCATCACTGGAATGAGCAGAGACGAGTAAGGTCATTCTACGACTTGTTGGACAAGCGGAAGAATAGATATTCTACAATTTTTATTCATTATTGAGACGCCATAATTGGTTTGATGATTTGCATTTCTTTCACTTGGCTTTTGAGTCAGACATGAGTTCACTTTGTCTGGATAAATAAGTTGTAACAGATTTTGCAGACTTCCCATTTGTCCATTTCCATAAATTCCAAAGCTTTTTGAGATATTGTTTTCCTGTTTTGTCTGCAAATTTACTATGTTAATTTGTCATTAGTTACTGCACATCTCTCGCTTATATTTTTGTTTATTTTTACAGTGTAGTAAGAATAGGCTGGGAAAAAAATTGAAGTGCATTTGACAGGTTTTATTTTCCAAAATGCATGAAAAAATTCAAAAAGTGAATAGATGAACATATTCTGTTCCAATCACGATGTTAGGAATTCATTACCTGATGAAGATTTAGAAAATGCGAAGGCTTGGTTAGATCGAACAACTAGTATTGAAAACACGAGTTGTAAAATGTACGACGAGATTTTCTATATTAATCCGTCGATATTATGTTGATATTTTTATTTGAAAAATCAACATTTTATATAGGGAATATATTGTATTATCACATGTTACTTTTTTATTAAAAAATCATTGCTGCACGAATAACATATTTTGTTACCATATATGTTGTTTAAGTCAGCAACATAATGAACATAATTTGTTATCATTTAATTACCAACACGTGTAACACATTATGTTAATCGTATGAAACAACTCCACGCGGCTGTTGTTACCAACACGGGTAACACATTACGTATGAAATAACTCCACGCTACCATTGCTTGCCATATCATTTCTGCAAAATATGAGTATCACATTATGTTACTCATCTAAAACCACTCCACATCAGTGTCTATCATAACAACCACCGGCATAAAACACGGGGTAATACATTATGTTATTCGTTTAGGGCTTGTCTGGTGTTGCTTTTCAACGGGTTGGGAATTGATTTATTGACTGTTGAGCACAAGGTTTCAAAAATCATGTGAGTAGAAGTCAAATTTTGCTGTCGGTGGGGCCCCTTCCAACGGTTGGAATTCCAGTTAAAATTGGATTTTAATTGCAAACAGATAAGCACTCAAACTTACTACACACGTATCTGCCACCATCACTAGAAAACATGAATAGAATATTATGTTGCCTATTAGCTTCACACTTCAGAAAATTTATCATCAACGTCGTCATCACAATATTCACCGTCATTCGATCACTGTACCACCAAGTATAGAGCAAAATAAAGATCAGCAATATTTTCAACATTAGGTGAAGTCAAACAAAAACCATCACTTGACCATTATACCACAAATTTTCAATCTAGATATATATTTGGAACGCATGAGAAAAGATGGGTTAAATTTCAAATCCAGATCCAAAGGTGATGGTAGAGGTGGTGGCAGAGGAGTTGACGTAAGAATCCGCAGCCGCTACCCGCCACCCGCTGCGGAACCCCGACCACCCCGAAGGGGCAGAGGCCTTACCAATGTGAGTGCGCACTAGGTAAATCTCGTTTCATGTGCAGTAACCCGCAAATCACATGGGAGAGGTAAACCGCACTGGCCCGGTGCAACAAACTCAACCAAGAAAGTGTTGGCAGATGATTCGAACTCATGACCTTTGGTGTTAGGGTTTGATTTTGGTCTCTATGGAGGTGGCGGTGGAAATGAAAATGGCCTCTTTAATCTGTCACGGCAGTGAGGGAGGTGCACAGTGCCGAAGATGGTGCGGCGACAGCAATAACGTTGCTGGGGTATGATGGTGGACATGTTGATGATAAATTTCTCATCAAATTTCAAGTACCACAAGCATAATAAATAATATTTTTTATGAGTGTCATTTTCTGTAGAAAAATGATAGAAATCCACTAATCATTAAATGTTAATTATTAGAATCATTTATTATTTTCCAAATTCATAAACATAACTATAAATATAACATTAATGCATTCTTAATCATTCACTCATTAATATGTATATGTGTGTATATGCATATTGACCACCTTCCAGGGTTTCCTCTTTACCGTTTGAACCAGCCATTTCCTGTCAATATTTGAAGATTTACAGATGCGTATTCTTTCTTAGCTACATCGTCTCGATCAAGTTTCTGAGGTGGGTTTTATTTTAAATTCATTCCAACAACAAAAATGGCACTTCCATGGTTGAATAAATTGCTGGAAACTGTATTTTTCGAACCGTGTCCACTTCATGGAGATTTTGGAGTACCAGGCGAATGCAATCTGTATTGCATTAGCTGCATGGGAGATCCATTTTGTATTCACTGTAGAGAACCACACAATGACCATCGAGATCAGGTTCTTCAGGTGAAACTTCTATCTTCATTACAGAAGAAATTCTGTCTTTGAGTGGATAATGGGCTCAATTTAGATTTTGTTTTTTTTGTTTTTAACTGCAGATAAGGAAATGTTTGCATCAAGAGGTCGTAAGGGTCGATGACATTGAGAAGCACTTCGACATTTCTTCGATACAGGTATACAAAATAAATGACCAACCTATTGTTTTTCTGAATAAGCAAGAGGAGACTAGAAGGCATGGAAGAGTTAATTGTCAAATGTGCAACCGATACCTCTCCAACCAAGATTCAAGGTTTTGCTCTATCAGTTGCAAGGTAAATACAGTTTCGAATTCCAGCCTCGAACATCAAGCAAACGAGAAAAGTATTCCTCATTCCTTATAAGGGCTTGTTTGGTAAAGCTTTTGTTTGCTAAAAGGATAGTTAAACTTCAATTGTAATTTTTCATCGACCTTTTCACCACACATTTCTTGAGATCTACCAGCTTTTATCAACATCACACAATTCCTAAATTAGGAGTTGGGATGGATCCTTTTTTCCACTTCGTTTGACTTGTCAGTCTAATTGATTGCGATTATATGATATAAGCAGGTGAAGTTTGATTGGTTAGAGTTACGATTATGAGACATGAGCGGATGAATAAGTCAGTTAATATTGGTGGCGATGAAGGGTCCATCGGGTGTAGGAGAAGAGCCAGATGATTAATGCAGTGAAGATTGTCGCGTTACATGATACTACAAAAAAGTATATAAATTATTTTCATTTCTTGGTACTTAGAATATTGTATTATGTAGTGTAACAAATAATTCATTAATGAATACAGAAGTTCATGAAATGCTGCATCAATTTGGTTACCTGAATTGTAACATTGTCATCTTGTTTGCCTTCTCTTTTACTATGTCCTTATTTGGTATGGATTAAAAGTTAATTAAATTTTCAAATCAAAGTAAAAAATTAATTTTAATCATATTTTTTATGGAATCCACAACTTAATTTTCAACCAAGCAATTCATTAATTTTTATCAGAATCGACTAAATACCTGATTTTAATACACACCAAGCATGCGCCATATATAAATGTAAATTTCAGAAATGGATCTGCTCGAGTTCATTCCAACTACTGAATCGAAATATCTGGTTAGATCCAAGTCCAACCCGAAACCTAACCAAATGGGGTTGAAACAGCTGTGTGTTACACCGGTGAGCAATAGGTTACCATCTACTAATAATGAGCTTCATAACACTCATCAACTTATAAGTAGCTTCTATTCATCAATTAAAGAGACAGAACTGAATGAATTACAAACGCAAAATAGAAAAATAATGACACGAAGGAGCCTTTTAGCATCGTTAGAAACTTCATTAAAGACTGAAGTAACCAAGAGTTTTGGACATAGGCTTCTATCGAATTTTAAATGCGCGATGAAACTGAGAAAATTATGTTTAGTGTCATTAATAAAAGTTAAGTGTCAATTGACGGGTAGAAAAGATCGTTAATGGACAGTTAACTATCGTTAATGAACGGTTAATCGTTGTTATCGTTAATGAACGGTTAATCGTTGTTATCGGCAATTAAGTGTCATTAATATACTACTAAATGATAGTTTACTGTTATTCAAGACGACCATTATCTGCGTGTTTTGCACTGTTTAGATCTCAAGATGACATTATTTGCTATAAATAACATTTTTAATGATCATACATTCATACTTGAATTTTATATGATAGAAAAGTTGACATCAGTTACCTTAAGTGAATCTATAAAATTTGCTTATCCATTACCGTTCAAACAATTGTGAACTCACTTTTCTAACTCATTGAGTCTCTTTACAATAGTTTAATGTATGTATATTGGTCAAATAAACACTTGAAAAAGCATTTTGAGTAGTAACAGCACAAGCACAATTATCATAATACTGAAACAAGAATGGAGTCATTATGATCATTAAGTGCATGTTTTGTACTTTTCACGTCTTGAGACAAAATTATATGATATAAACAATATTTTAATGATCATACTTTAAGTTACTGTTGGAAAAAACAATCGAGATATTAGAATAGTTATGATACCAATTGTTGTGAAACAAACCACCGTATTGAGACGTTGAAGTTATATGTCAAATAATAATGAAGCATTTGATCAAGTAAAAGAATCCATTACTCTCTTGAAAACTATTAGTTACCATTATGCTAATAAGTTAATTAAATGGCGTGCAATTTACTTGCAACTTTTTAGTTCATAAAGCTACGAATGGAGAATCCATTTTTTTCACTGAAAAAACAAACAAAAATCATGACTAAGACAAGAATATGGCAGAAGAATTAAGAGATTTTATTAATTCAAAAATAATGGAGAAGAGAGAAAATTACAGTGGATCCTATAATTTTAGTAATCTATTTTCTCACATGTAATTGTTATAAAAAAAATTGTATAGAAGAGTCTAATATTTATAGGAAATATGTGGGGACGTCCAAACTCTCTGGTAGAGTTATTGATTAAGTAGGATGCCAAAAAATCGAGTCTAAAACGAAGTAGGAGAGAAAAAATCACGATCAGGTTACTGTAGCAGCGCTCAAGCACTAGGTTTCAGGTTAATATTCCAAAGCACGCTTTCAAAGTGTTTTTCTCTATTTCGAACTCTTCTTCAAGTCTAATATCAATTTTCAACTTCCAATGTGCTTCTAAAATAGAACTTCAACTTGATATAAGATTCCAATAGCATTCCAAAATTGAATTCTTCTTGATGTTCACTACAATTAGAATTCTTCAATATTTCAAATAAGGAATTCAAGTCAAACCCAAAATCTAACAATCTCCACCTTAACACGAATACCACCAATGAATGAACTAGCTTCTTCAACAATTTAAAAAAAATAATAATAAATTCTCCAACCAAACACAAAATACTCCACCTCTTCCAATGAATCCAGCGCTACTCTGTAGAATTACCTCGAATTTCAAAAAATCATAATGATTTTGAATTAACCAAAATGGGCTATAACACACTCCAAAGTAGAATCATTACCAAATGCTTCCAATGAAGGCTCATTGTTAGATTAAACACCTTTTTCTTCACTTAAA